TGGCTAATCTAGCTATAAATGCTATATATATATATATATATATATAGTTGCTATTAGAACACTAAAGTGATTAGAGAAAGTACTTTCATTTGAAAAACTAACATCTCACAGGAAGTGATACACTTTGTTGTACATAATGAAGCTTATGCACTGTAATGAATATCAGTTTAAAAGTGTGCGTTCATAAGTGTGCGTAGGGTGTCCAAAGGAGCTTGAAAGAAAGTCAGCATTTTCCAGAAATACATTCAATTCTGCAGAAAGTTCCCTGGCTGGCTTCCATCTATTGACGATGCAATCAAACATTCTGACCAGACCTCGCTGGCCACAATACAACCTGGGACATGTACGTGCAAACTTGTGATTTATCCATTTTTCTTTTTAATTACCCGTGTGTCAAAGATAGGTGAGGAGGTCTATGTGGAAATCCATTCCCTATCAAAAGCGAAAAAGAGCAGTATTTTGTTCTAAACCACAGAGAGGGCCCAAACGGCATTAAAAAATAATGTTCTGATTTTCCATTAATAAATACTTAGTCACTGTCTTATTTTTTTCCCCCTGACTGCATAGGCAGAGTGGCAAGATTTATTATTTAAATATCTTGTAAGATATGTATGATGTCTTTTTTTTAAAGACAATTCTTTGGAGTCAAAATGCAACACAAAAACACACATTTGGCTCTTAAATGGCTCCTTATAATTCAAATAAGGCTCTTAGCAATCTTTCTAACCACGGAACACTTGGTTCCTCAAAAGAAAACAAGCACTGCCTAACACAATATTTATAGCAAATAAAGCACAGCAAAGACTATTATCTAAAGTGGTAGGGTTTAGGATGTTTTCGTGCCAGGCAGGACAATAAAAGTCTTCCATAATAAGGTTAAGATAGAGCGGACCCAAAAAGTATTTGGACACTTAGGCCACACTTAAAATGTCTAAATTTCATTGCATTACACAACAAAATATCAGGCTAACTTCATTTTTCTGAACAATTCTTTCTGATAACTTTTAGTGGATTTATGAAGCCAGTGACCAGCAATTAAGCATGACAGCCATTAAATATCCAAATGCTTTTGTTTTATCATTTAAAATCTAACAAATGTCTTTTTTTGCGAAATGTTTTGCTTTAAAAGGATGCATGTTCTATCCTTCTTGAAAAAAAACCCGCAACTTATTTATATATTTTTTGTAATTGAACGCAATCACATTCAGGTATTCTTAAGTGTCACTTACTTTAAGTGACAAACACTTTTTGAGTTTCATAAGCAGTGCGCAAGATTTCCTAAAATTAACCCATAACAAACTAGGCAACACTTATTCTCTATATTCAAATCTGTTTGTGAATAAAACGCCTGAATATAGTGTTTAAAAGAATAAGGAAGAGATGCAAAACAAAGTGAAAAGAAGAAAGACGTCACATGGCAAATCAATTTCCTGCCGTGACTCTTCAAGGTGCAGACATCAAGAATTCGTCAGCTTTGCTGTCCTCTCACACAGGACAGCTCAAGGACATTGGCAGCGTAACCCTTATGCAAACGGCCCGCCACTCTGTTTGATGAGCACCAACACCAACTTTGTATATGTAAACGATGGGCAACCGTGGTGTGCACACACTGACAGATGCATACACAAACACACAGACGCGCTGAACTTTGCCTATCCCAGTGTGGTCAGACGCAAACGCTCCGGGTCGGTGACATACTGCACTTGTATCAAGCTGTGTCTGGCTGCCACTCTATAGCTGAGACGGGGACATATACTTGTTGATAAAGGCTGGTCTGGCAGGGACGCTGACCTCCTACTAAGAGTGCAGAGAAGTTGATTAACACCCTGCCTTTGCTCGGGAGGGGACACCACTGGTCACCTGATAAACCTGCAGAGTCCGGTTATGACCGACTGCGTGTTCCATACTGGAGCTGTTAATAAGAACATCAGGCTCCATTTGAATAATTGAGTGTGCTCATTGGTTTCTACGTGAAATGTGAATCTTTTAGACAAAATATATTTAGGTGCAAAAATACACTGCATGCAAATATGCCAGTGTAGTCAGTTTCTAATTAGAAATAAATGTCTTTTTAGGACATCATAGCCCTGCTGAAAAAAAAGTATAAACCAGTTTGAGATAGGTAGACTGGTCTGGTTGCTAGTTTTAGGTTTTGGCCACTTGGCCACAAGCTGGGAAACCAACTGGTTAACCTGTCAAAACAACTAAACATGAACTGATCCAGACTAGGAGACCAGATGAACCACTATAAACCACTTTAGGCTGGTTTTAGACTGGTTTAATATGGATAAAATGCTGTCTGGGTATGAAGTGCACTACCATTCAAAATTCGGGCTGGTAAGATGTTTTAATGTTTCTGAAAGAAGTCTCATATGCTTGCCAAGACTGCATTTATTTGATAAAAAATACAATAAAAACAATCATATTGTAAAATATTACTACAAATATTATTATTTTCTATAAAAAAAAAAAGTAATTTATTCCTGTGATGGCAAAGCTGAATTTTCAGCATCATTACTCTAGTTTTCAGTGTCACATGATCCTTCAGAAATAATTCTAATATGCTGATTTGGTGCTGTCTTATTGTTATAGTTGTGTTTCTTTTGGAAACAGTGACTTCAATGAACAGAAAGTTCAAAAGAACAACATTTATTAAAAATAAACATCTTTTGTAATATATATATATATATGTCTTTAATGTCTCTTTTGATCAACTTAATAAAAGTTAATAAAACTTAATAAAATTGCTGAATAAAAGTATTGATTTCTGTCAAAAAAACATATCTTACTGACTCCAAACTTTTAAACGTTAGTGTAAGTAATAAAATAAATGAGATAATTTGCATTCCCCTTCAGGAACTCGAGCTGCGTCGAGTCGCTTTGGGAACGCCCTTGCGTGACCGCGTTCTGAAGCACGTGTCAAATCAGTCCAATGGAGCAGCGAGACGTCACGAGCGGGGTGACGTAAGCACCAGAAAGTATAAAAGCGCATCCAGCAGAGCGCAAACCAGCTTCTGCTCTTCAGTAGCGCTCTGTGTATGTGTCTGTCTATTTACTGTTGTCTGTCCGCACAAGCATATATAAAAAACAATCATGAAAAAGTATATGGCGAGCGAACGGCATTACAAACGCTGTGTTTCTCCCTGCCCACGATATCTGGCAAGTGAAGAGGCTACAGCAGTCAGGTCGGTTGTTCCCTCAGTGCCCTCACGGAGGTTCATTGATACCCCTGCCACCTCGGTGCTTCAGGGCTCAGTGAGCTCCGACGAGTGAAATTCCCAGCTGCCGCCCGGCAACGGTACGGCACGGGAGAGCTCGCCCCCTCAAGTGAGGGTGCTACAGCAGTCAGGTCGGTCGTTCCCTGCCGGTCATCTGCTTCAGGGCACCGAACTGGCTCCTCGAATAACGCCGGAGGCCAGCCTCGAGAGGCTGGTTCCCTTAGTAGATTTTCTGGCAGCGTGGAAACTTCTACCAAATATCTCAAAATGGGTCCTGCAGATTGTAGAGAAAGGTTACAGAATCCAGTTCGGTTCTCGTCCGCCTTGTTCAACGGGGTCATCCCCACACTAGTGGGCCCCGAGCTGGCTCTGGTAATGGAACAAGAAGTAGATACTCTCTTGAGGAAGGGGGCCATAGAACGTGTTCCTCCTCTCTCTCGAGAGCGTCCGGGTTCTACAGCCGTTACTTCATCGTTCCGAAGAAGGATGGGGGGGTTGCGTCCGATCTTAGATCTCCGTCTTCTGAACCGCGCTATCAAACGGCTTCGGTGCAAGATGCTCACTATCAAGCAGATAGTATCTCAAATCCAGTCCGAGGACTGGTTTGTTACGATAGATCTCAAAGAC